TTAATTTGAAAAATATGTATCTAGTGCTGAGAAGCATGCATTTTTGCATTTTTAAAAAACTGGCTTAATTCCAGAGATATTTTTTTCTTGCATTTTTCAATCAGAAGCTAACCAACCAAATAAACAAATAAAAATTAAATACAGCCTGATGCTCACATTTCAGAACACTGATATTGGTTTGAACCCTGTTCAGCTTTAATGCCAAAAATTCAGTGCCAAGTGACGACTTTGTCACAAATGAACACAGGGCCAAAATGCTACCTTTTAGCATACTCCGAGGGTAAAGATCTGATGTAAAATTTTTCCCTCCCTCCCTCTCTACCTCCTTTTTTTTCCTTTACTTTCTTCTTTTATCCCTCCTTCCACACATATTTAATTAGGAATCTGCTATATCCCATGCACAGGTTCAGAGGCTATAATAGTGAACAAGTCAGCCATGGCCTCTGCCCTCGTGCAACTTACAATTTAGTAGGGAAGACAGATAAACAGCAACGACAACAACAAAAATACAGATAAGTGCATAATTGCAAATCGTGTTAAACACCTTACCATATTTCCCCTTTCCCACCAAGATGACAAAGGATGTCCTGGAAAAATTCATTTGAATGTAGTTTATTACGTAAGGAATGCTCTTTCAAGCAGAGCTGTTCTTCAATTCCTGTTCTTGAAGATGTATGTGAAAATTCATTTCCATTCCTATTTAATACTATTGTATTTCACCATGCATAATAATGTGTGCTGGTTTTGTGCTTTAAAACAGTATATGCATCTCATTCCTGAGCTGAGTAGACATATGAGCTTATTTTTATGTATTGATTATTCCATAGGCTGCAAAATCTTTAAATGAAGGAGTGTCTTCAGGAACACAAGGGGCTTAAATCTAACCATTGAGCTAGAATCAGTCAAGTTTTTAAAAACTACAAGAACTATTTCAAATATTAGTTTCCCCATGTATCAAATTAAGGAACTGGATTAGACAGATGCTCTTGAAGGCCCTTTGTAGATATAAACTGCTACATATCATTAGAAAATCATTTTTACATGAAAACTCTTAATATATTATAAACAGTTCTCTAGTGGTTTGAAAAGTTTTTGTGTTGATAAAGATGTACAGTTCAAAGGCTCTCACATTATTGTAGTTTTATTCCTTTTGTCATTATAATAGAACATCATTTGCAGTTAGAGATTGTTGTTTTTTATATCTGGCAACTCGATGGACCAGAAACCTCTCTTATGGTACATTCTATAGCTTGCAGTGATCTACTTTTATTCACATGTTGGTAGTATCTGTATTTTCTAATAAAATGAGTTGCATCTGTTTTCAGTTTGATTTTCCTTATAAGTGCATAAAAAAGTGATTTGAGACTCTTGACAGAAGTCTGCACTATGTCTTTCCCAACAAGTAGTATTATGATACATGGTAATCCTTTTGTGAAAGCCTCATAAATGTTGATGAATTGGAAATGGTATTTGGAGTAAACCAAAGCCAACTTACATTCTGTACCATTTAAACACACTTGTCTTATGAAAATGCAACTAAATTAGAAAAGCTTCCATCTTCCTAAGAATGCTTAAGATTTAGTGATTTTTATGTGTTGTTAATAGACAATAGGATAGATTTCCAGTAATATATCATAACCTCTCTACACTGGGTTTGAAGGGAAGATATATATTTGAGGAACCACCCAGGAATATACTGTAAGTTTAAAGAAGGATGTATATAACAATTGACTTCACTTCCATTTCTACTCAATGCTGTTCATTTCATTATTAAATTTGAGAGGACATACAAGTCTTCATGGTACTTGTTTTCTAGTCGTTTTTCCTCCTTTTCAATTGAGAATCATTTATGACCACGTTATGTGTATTGCCCTTAAAACAAATGTTCTGTCCATTTGTCTGATTTCTGTTTGTCCTTTGTCCTCCTCGTCTCTATTTTAGACGTTATCCTCAAAGTTATTATCAGTTAAATTTATGCTCTCTCATACCCTCTATCAATCCTTTCCATTTTCTTGAGTCGGGCAGACCCTTACAGCCATATGCTGTGTTCACATCAAATGTCAACACTGATTTGTAAAATATGTGTCTTGTTTATGGTCAAATATTAATTACAATAAATCTGGTATCTGTAGATATATGGACAGCTTTGATGAGCAGAGTGATCCATTATTGTTCAAACATGATAGATCACTAAGAACCTATTTTTCAAATAATGACATCTACTTCTTTAGACAATTACATTGACATATGCTTTGTTTCATAACAAAATTCCAGGTGCTTTATAAGGTTGAAAATTGAGGAAATATATCATTTGAATTTTGGGTAATTGGCTGTAATCAATTTTGATTTTCTGCATAATTCACCTATGATACCACTACAAGTTTTCTGTAATAATATGTCACTTTTCATGTGTCAGTCCTGGGCTGGCCAGTTAGCTCAGTTAGTCAAAGCACAGCCTTGTAACACCAAGGTCACAGGTTTGGATCTACATATTGGCCCAGATGCCAAAAAAAGAAAAAAAAAAAAGAATAAATAGAAATGTGTCAGGGCCGGCCCGGTGGCACACTGGATAGTGCGCCGCTTGGGAAGCGTGGCGGGCGCTCCCGCCCGAGGGTTCGGATCCCACATACAGACCGGTTCCCGCTCACTGGCTGACCGAGGGTTGCGATCCCGTTGCCGGTCCCCGGTCTGGTACGGGGACGACACTGAGGGTTGCGATCCGTTGCTGGACACGGAAAAAAGACAAAAGACAAAAAAAAAAAAAAAAGAAATGTGTCACTCCTCTACTTGAAGCTCTCCAGTAATTATTATTGGGATCTTTAGGGTAAAATCTAAGTGTCATGGCCAAACATTATGACCACTCGTTGTCTGGTCCTGACACAAACTTCCAGCCTCATCTTCTGGTTCTCTTTTATCTGAACATTTCACTGCAACTAGATGGAGTCGCTCATGTTCTCTACATATTTGTAGTACTAATGTCTTTGCATTTGCTCAGATCCTCTCTTCTACCTAGTATGGATTTGCTAGTCTTGTCTGTCTTTCATAGCCAGATTGTTTTACTTTGTCTATGAAGCCATTGCTGAAACACTCAAATTGGAGAAGAGGAGGTAATTTAGTTGTGGAGGGAGGAAACTAATGTCATTTGAATATTTACTATGTGGAAGAATTGTCATGGCATTTTTGATATATTATTTCAATAAGCACTCCTTGTTTTATGAATACCTATAACATTCTTTTATTTAAGAAGAACATCATTTGTTATCATCACTAAGACCAACTTCATTGATATTAGTACATGTCCCACCTATATTATGTTATAGAGCATTCCACTTAGTTTTGGAGGTACAAAGAAATAGGAGATGTGGTTTTTAACCCTGGAGTAAAGGAAGGAAAATTGATGAAAAATAAATAATATATAATAAATGCTAAAAATTTAATAAGTACTAGTTCAGAGAAGAAGAGCAGTTACCAAATATTGACTAGAAATAGGCTTATCAATACCTAGTACTGGAGGAGTACCTTGAATAATAAACATTTATTTTATGATGAACATAATTGCCTCACATTGTGAATTACATGATAATACATCTTAGCTTTTTCCCTTACCCTTGAGGGGAGAAAAAGAAAAAAAAAAGAAAGAAAAAGAATACTTTTAAATAGAAAATAAAGATATTGCACATTATTTGTTGCTTGATTACTTGATTTGTGACTGCCTCTACTGAAATTTATCTTTTTTTTTTTTTTGTCTTTTTCCGTGTCCGGCAACAGATCGCAACCCTCAGTGTTGCCCCCGTACCGGACCGGGGACCGGCAACGGGATCGCAACCCTCGGCGTTGCTCCCGCGCCTCGCTCAGCCATTGAGCGGGAACCGGTCTGTATGTGGGATCCGAACCCTCGGGCGGGAGCACTGCCGCGCCTCCTAAGCGGCGCACTACCCAGTGCGCCACCGGGCCGGCCCTCTACTGAAATTTAAAAAATGTTTTTGTATATTTTTAATAGCTTGACTGTAATTTAATATCCAGCTCTGTTCAGTGTTTTATGCCTAAATACAAAAGAAGTTGTTTGAGATGATGTACAATTCTGAAGGATAGGTGAACCAGAGAAAGATGAGGTAGAGTAAAGATTATCATGACTTAGAGCTAATTATAGTAAGATCAGCTAAGTACTGCCGGTCCTGACATGCGCTATTTATCTAATGGGTAATTGTCTTTGCTGTTGCAGAACACTTCTGTGAATTGGAAGTTTTCCTTGTTCACAGTAAGGCATTAACACCCTTTTATAACTCAATTTCTTAATATTTTCCTGAAGCCCATTTTTTAAGAACACACTACTTTGATACCAATCTGAAATATTTTTTCTGTTCTCTTTAAACACAGTAGTTACTTTTCTCACTTTTTTGGTACTTATTCATTTTATTGTAAAAATGATTATTTTGTTGACACGGAATTATTTTTCAACCATTAATATTCTGTAATATAATACACTACATATAATTTCAATATATTATAATACAATAATTAATAAACCTAACATAGTGAAATTGGATGTGATACTTTGCTAAGTAGGTATCTTTCATAAATTGCATCTGGGAAGAAATGAAATCCAGAAAGAAAGAATGGAGGAAAAAGGGATCTCATAATTTTGGTCCTACTATTTTTTTTTAATAGATTCTTTTCATTTCTCTTGAGACATAAAAAACTGTATGTAATATCTCTGCATATTTCACTGTACCAGTTTTTGGACGCTGTAGTCTCATTTTGAATGTGTTAATCCAAGGTATAAAAAGTAGAATTTGAATGTGGGTTAAGCTTGCTTTTTATTCTGAATCTACAATAACTGGAGGTAGGAAAAGTCCTGTCTTTACTAATGACTGAAATAAACCTCACTCCAGTGCAGTAAGTGCCTGAGTCATGGAATTAACCAAAGCACGTGAAATAGCAGTAGCATAAAACTGTTGTTGTTTTCTGATACAACTCACAATTCTCTTTTTCTCTTATAGGTGTTAAAGTGGGTAGAAGAAGCAGTGCAGGCATCCAAAGTTCACCTCTTATCCACAGATCATTTGGAACAGGCTGTAAATACATGGAAAATTCCTTTCGATCCTAGCTTAAAAGAGGTCACTGTGTCTCTGAGTGGCCCTTCTCCAGTGATTGAAATTCGCAATCCTTTAGGTGAGACATATTGAATGTCACGTAATAAAATACAAAAACCATGGAGGGTAAAAGACTTTTTGCACATTTATTTATGTCAAGTTAATGCTAACTTTAAGAATAAACTCAGTAAATTCAGAAATGGCTAGAGAAGATGTCTAAAAAAGAAAACTGTTTTTAGTCCTAAGTATTGTTGAATTAACATGGGATTCAAAAAGCTAAAACTGGTGGTTACTCAGTGCTCAGGTGGTTACAGCACAGTGCTAATAATACCAAGGTCCAGTATTTGATCCCTGTACTGGCCAGCTGCCACCCCCCCTCCAAAAAAAAAAAAAACCAAGAAGCTAAAACTTCTAATATTTCAATAGATCAGGTTAACTGTAGTTAATTTACACAAAAGGAAAATATTTAAATATAACCTGAAATTACATTTTTTAATAAATTTGTGAGGAGATATTTCACAGTAATTTATTCTGTAAAATTTAGTATTTTATGTGATCTTTAAATGAATCACACTAAAAAACTCCTTCTAAAACACCTGCCTAATTTCTCACTGTATTATTTTCTTAATAAGGTTTAATTTACAAAGAACGTAGTTAAATTTATATTCTTAGAAGAGGAATGTTTAATTTACTTTGTTTCTCACTTACTTATACTTTATAACCATAATATTTGCCTGATTCCATTGCTGGTTGATAATTATTATAAGACTCATTGAAAAGCAATCTAGTAAACACAGAAATCTCATTTTTCTTAATATTTGCATTTAGAAATATTTTTTAGCTATTGTTATTTGCAAAATAGTTTTATTTTCACTGTGGCTTTAGCATATGTTGCATATTTTTCCTCTATTTGTGAATATTTATAAACGAGGAAGGGGATAACATGTTTTCTTACTTTGAGTCTTAGAAGAAAATAACTAATTCCTAAAAGAAAACATATATGAAATTGTCCTCAGAGGCCACATCCACATTAGCAAATTTGTTAAAATTTACAAAGCCATGAAAACCTCTTTTTCAAGACTTCTACAGGTTTGGCCTCATAAGTGGGTTTGTCTGTCGAGGTAGCATTTTGCTGTAATAGCATCCGTGCTATCCAGGAAAGACTTGGGTTTTTCACTACCTGGATACTTAAAAGTTCCTGAACCCATTGCATTGTTCCTACTACTTAAAAAAGTTATTGGGCATACAATGATTGCAAAAAGTTTTGATTCAAACATAGGGTGAATATAACTTACACAGGTTATATAACTGCAGAAATAGTCCATAGGAGAGCCAAGAATGCAGTGAATAACTCAACTATGGCTTAATTCCAAATTTGCTTTTCTTCCTCCTTAAGTTCCAACTATTAGGTACTTTAGATAAATCTCAGGTCAGTAGGGGATGGTATCATACTACTTCATTACACTGCCTCTTTTAATTATTTCTATGACAGATAAAAGCCTTCCCCTGTGATTCATGGAAAAAGTGGTCAAGGTTTTGCATTTTGTGCGAAGATATGCCCAGGGCTCTCGTGTTAGTAATACCTTGAGTGATGTCCAAAAAGACATTTATTCTGGTTTGCTCTGTTTGCCATCTATTTAATCTAAATGTCTCTGGTGACTGCACCTAATTTCTGGGTAGCCGTGGTCATTGTTATCCAGGCTGGCTTTGAGAATGTGATTACAGCCTGCCAATTGTTACTTTCATTTTACAATCAAATCAGCATAATAAATGGGAATCTGTTCCTTCAGTTTCAGTGCCCAGAAACCCTAACGTTAAGTATACTTTAGATATAAATAAAACAATGTTTTGAGCTGTGGCATAAATGACCATCAGGTAATGTATGCTGGAAATGGAATGTCCTTCATTTTAGTCACAGAATAGAAAACAAGGGCTGTTTGGATTAGTTTGCAGGACATTTTTCTAAAATATGTCTCTGTGTTATTTGAAATTGGATCATTCTCTTAGCTTTATGTAGTGTTAAATCAGCTTATATACGTAGCCGGGAGAAAGATTGTACTTGTTACCTTTATGTCTGTCTTTCAGGGAAGCTGATAAAAAAGGGATTTGGCCTGAATGAGCTATTAAACATCCATAACTCTGCCAAAGTGGTGAATGTAAAAGAACCAGAAATTGGAATGTGGACAGTGAAGGTATTGTCATTTCGCTAAGTCTGTTATTTTATTTTGATGTTGGCATGTTTTATAAAGTATACACAATAGTATATTTATATCTATTCTTGCAGTCATGGAGAGCACGTTTACTAAAAAGCAATATACACAGTGAATTTGAAAGCAGTGTTTTGATCACATAGATTTGGAAGTGTCAAGTTTTGTTTTTTTTTTTGTCTTTTTCCGTGTCCGGCAACGGATCGCAACCCTCGGCGTTGCTCCCGCGCCTCGCTCAGCCAGTGAGTGGGAACCGGTCCGTATGTGGGATCCGAACCCTCAGGCGGGAGCTCCGCCACGCTATCCAGTGCGCCACCGGGCCGGCCCAGGAAGTGTCAAGTTTTGATGACCATGAATGTCATCAGTGCCACACAATACTCATAAAATTCTTGGATAGTTTTCCTATCATCAAATCTGTAGATTGATTTTATTATCCAGCTCCTGCTTCCAAGATAATCAGACATGGAGCCAATAGAGAATAATGAATGGTTAAGGCCACAGACTCTGGTGTGAAACTGCCTGGGTCTGAATCTCAAAACCACTGCTTAATGGCTGTACTGCCTTGAGAACAGCTTCTCTGTTCCTTGCTTTCCTTCTCTGTAATGGAGGGATGGCACTATAGTCCTTTACTTCACAGTTGGACTGAGAATTAAGTTAAGATGACACACATTATATACTTAGCATAATTTCTTTTACAAAGCAAGCACTCAAGTACTGTTGGCTGTTACTATTTGATGAAACTCTATTCACTCTATTCATTTTTTTAAAAATCACACAATGGTATTTGTATCCTAGCCTTATCTTAAGTGTTATCTGAGTGTATTCACCTTAAGAAAGCATCACATTTTGGCAGTATGGAGGAAAGAACATACACTTGAAATGTAGGATAGCATATATCAGAGATCTGGTTCTGCTGCAAATTATGTGTGTGACCCACTGTAGTGGACGCTCTGAGTGACTTGCCCACGTTTTTCCAACTTTTCGGTGTACTCTGGCCTACTTCCACCTCCAGGTCTGCATTTCTGTGTCTGAGAGGTTTTATCCAGATCAGGAGAGGTCTGTTCTGTGGAAGAATTAGTAACCTCTCAGCAATAGCTTTCAGACCCTGGAGGAAGACGCTCGAGGTGTCACCGTGGGAGCAGGCTTGTACTGGCCTCTTGCCTCTGCTGTATCGTTTCCCCTCTTCCTGTTAGTGTCCCTTGTGTCTCCCAAATAAACAACTTGCTCTAGAGTCCTTCTGGGAGAACTCAAATAAAGATACCCCATGCAGTACTTACTCTGTCGTTGTCTCAGCTTCTCTACGTAGAAAGTGGGATCAGTGGGACCATGATTCAAATTGTAGAGCTGCTGTCAAAGTGTGTGGAGGTGACAGACATTTGAGCCATTTTTGCATGCCCGCCAGTTTTGTTTTGTTTTTTCAATAATATCTACGTTAACTTTCCCATTTTAAAGAATGAAATTTACAATGTAACTCCACTCAAATTCTAGGATATCAGTTTTTTATTCTCAGAACTCTAAGCCCTGTAAGGAAAATAGAAACCGTAGGATGAATGTTTTTGATATGGATACTATGAGATAAGGGCAGGGGTGAAAAGGCAATGTAAAAGAAAGTCTGGTAATCTCTTAGTGAATGGACCAGAAATGGTCCTATCTACCTGTGTTATTCACCCAGTTCCTTGCACATGTTAAGTGCTCAATATTTGTAGAATGCTTTAGACTGTCAATGATGAAGTGTTTTGCTGCTATGATATTTTAAATAAATGTGGCCAAATTTGATGGTATAGTTATTTTGACCAACTTGCCCAATATATGACTAGTGTTGAGTCTGATGTTCTGGGACCACAGTAGGAAGGAATTTAAGAAGTGTTGAATATCTTCATCCCTCAAATGCTTTCATTTAAGCACAACCCAAGTCAGCAGTGTCCTGAGCTAGCAAGTCCACTCAGGTAATTCGTTCTTGCTTTCTGAATATTAACGTTAAGTTATCCATTATCGACTGTGATGCTGTTCTTCCATACTGTTAGCAATTTACTGTGAAGTATTTGAAGCTATTTCCAGGTGATTTGGATTGCTCCCAGTGGTATTTCCTTTAGTAAAACTCTTGGCCAGAGGAGAGATGTCACATGACTTTACCTTGTACTTAACACTCCTGTTCGTTCAATAAACATCTCCTGAGTGTCTGCTCTTGGCTGTGTTCCCTGCTACTTACTTAAGGCACATGGAGCACATTTTAATTGATAATTAGAACAGAGAAGTATTGAGAATTAGTCTGTGAGTGAGGGGAGTCATAATAAAGGTGTGATGCAACGGGAACTCAGTTTAGACAAGTCTCTAAGCTCAGTATCCTATAATTAAGGGAACATTAAAAAAAAAAAAAAACGCAGTGTCAATTATCATGTTATCTTAAATGTGTATCTAGTCCTCACCAAAAGAACCTCCAGGTCTGATTTAGGCCATTTCTAGTGCACAGTTAGTGGTAACAACAACTAAACAAAGGATAAGCATTACATTGCAACTTAAAAACAATGAACTTATTTTGCCTCCTGTATGAAATACTAGAAGAATGCATGAGGTTGATGCAAAGGAAACTGAGCTGAATCTACTTATATAAATATTGCTGCTGACTTTGGATCTCCCTTTTGGATGGGTGATGAATGGTAAACGTTTTACATGTTTGCTTTCTCAAGAGGGGAAATGTCTGAGATTAGATAGCGTATCCCTGTGCTATCTCCTGTGCACTCTCCTATCTGGGAAATGTCCGTTCTACCCGTAGAATATCTCTGAATGTTTCACATAACAGTTTTTATCCCACATGTGGAGAATAGTCTATCCATTATTTGACCTTAGTGTGGTATTCAAGGACCACCCAGTTGAGCCTCAGCCAATATTTCTAGTTACCCTCCATTACTTGCCTTTACACTCCATGCAAATACAATTTTGTACTGTCCCCTGTCCCCGACCACATTCTCTTGCTCTATGCTTTCTTTTAAGCTGTTCCTTCTCCCTAGAATGCCCTTCCTTTCAGTCTGACTTGTAACAATCCCCCAAGGGTCAACTCAAATGGCAACACTTTCATCAAGCCTTCTCTGGCTTTTTTTTTTTTTTTTTTTTTGTAAAATGCTCTCTTCTCCTTCTGGCTTTCTACTGCCATTTTTCTGCACCTTCCTTTTGGATTAATTTCTCCCTTACATCATTTTTATTCCTGTTCAGAATTTCTCTTCCTATTTTACTAGAGACCATATTTTGTTACAAGTTCATGCCACAGTACCTGAAAAAGAACTATATATTTATAGATAAAAATTAATATATTTATTCTGATTATATCTAGAAAAGCAGGCAGAAGAATTGGTTCTTTAGACTACAGTTGGTGTTCTGACACAGAACGCTTTATTCTGTCCATGATTTAAAATGCTGTGAGAGTAACAGTTGCTTTTATTTTGTGGTTTCCCTAGCAAGTACTTTACTGTGACATATTAGGGCATGTTCTCTAAATAGAGACAGTAAGTCAACTCATTTATATAATTCATATATATGAGTCAAATGTTTTAGGTTGCCTCTGATACAGGTAAAGTATGTTTTAAAAAAGTACCTGAAGGGCCGGCCCGGTGGTGCACTGCTACAGTGCGCTGCTTGGGGGCGCGGCGGCGCTCCCGCCGAGGGTTCGGATCCCACATACAGACCGGCCGCTCACTGGCTGAGCGAGGGGCGGGCGCAACACCGAGGGTTGCGATCCGGTTGCCGGTCCTGGTCCGGTACGGGCGTGACACTGAGGGTTGCGATCCGTTGCCGGTCACGAAAAAAGACAAAAAGGGAAAAAAAAAAAAAAGTACCTGAAAAGAACATAAAGTTTTATTAAAAACAGAAGAGAAGATTGCTTTGTGCCCCAAGTTTTCATTTTTAGGGAAGTTACAAATCCTGGATCTTACTCCTGAGAAGCGCTGTGATTTTTCCATTCAGGCAACTGTATCTGTACATAAAGTACATGAATATAACCATGAAGACTCTTGGGCCAAATTTTGTCCTCTGCTCTTTAAGGGAAACTCCAGGCAAAAACATTAAATAATTGCCAACACCCAAAGGGTTTAGGTGGTACAAAATGTTCTGTTGGTCTAGGATTATCAGTGTGATCATGTTATTTAACACATCCCCTGGGGTATGTTTCCATTGAGTAAATTTGGATAAACTGTCCTTAGATAATCTCCCAAGCAGAGAAGGGAGTGTACGCAACCACATGATTATATTGAGATTCTGAGACTAGTAGAAATATTTTGGTTTTGGACAGTTATGTTAGTTGCCAGAGCTTACCAATGCATTTTCTGCAGAATAAGGATATTTTAGAAGTCACATTCAAGTGCCATAAGCTTGTTTAGAAATCATAATCAAATCAAGAGGACCACACAAGATTATTATGCTGGCCTCCGTTCTCACCTGGTGACTTCCTTGAATAAGCCTGTAGGCTTATACCAGGTGTGTTATTTGAGTGGATTAGGTGACACATTAATTCAATGTTCTCAGTTAATAGAATGCTTTATAGTGGATTTTTCCTGGAAATTTTCCCAGTTATTCTGGCCTGCCAATATAGACTGTCAACCAAATGGAATGCTTCCTTTTTAAAAGAGCTATCTGTGCATTCAGTACAGATACACTTAGGTATATATAAATGTATATGTGCATGTGTGTGTACATATATTTAAATAGAATTTATTCTATGCTTTGGGTATATTTCTTTCCTTATCAAATTTCTCCAAATGTGCAATGGCCAATAAAACAATGATATTTAAATCTAGCTGGTCTTATGTCTTTGTGTCTGAGACAGTGCTTAGCTCTCAGTAGGTTCTTAATAAATACTTGATTGAAATCATCCTATTTTGGGCCGGCCCGGTGGCGCACTGCTACAGTGCGCCGCTTGGGAAGCGCGGCGGCACTCCCGCCGAGGGTTCGGATCCCACGTACGGACCGGCCGCTCACTGGCTGAGCGAGGTGTG